GAAGTTAAATACAATTGAAAATTTTTTCGAAACAATTTTTTTTCCAATGTATTTTTAAGAAAACCTTTTACAGTTAAAAAAATTTAAAAAATATTAAGCAATCATTTATATGTATATTCTCGGATCACACTCCTCCGGCACATTCTGAATAAATTATGAGCGTACAATTCACCTTTCCTCCCACTCTTACACAAGTTTATCACAACTTCTTTGTTTTTTTCTTCCTGGTTTGTGCTCACAAATATTTGTTTTATGGTCTGAATAAATATTTTACTTTTGCGTCCAAGTTTTGGAAAGCGCCCGGTAGTAGGGGGGAAATCAAATGTGTTCATATTTCCACTTGTTCTACTTTAATTTGTTAGAATGGATATCACATAAGCACACGCCTACAACATGGATACATACATATGTATATCCATCATTACTTTCGACACAGGCATAGAAACGTTCCAACTACAAGCATAGATATATATAGCTGCTCACTACTTTCAAATGCATCACTACATTCCTACTCTCCTTAACTGTATACCTTAATTCGCATATACATATATAGCATACGAAAGTGACGTGAGAACGAGTCAATGAGCTGATGAAAGTTTCTCACTCAATTCTGAGTTGTTGAAAGTAATCGAAAATATTGGCGTAATATAAGTGGTGCCGATGTGCTGGTGGAAACTAAAAGCCATTGAATGATGAATTTTGTCAAAATGGTATTAAATTAAGGAGAAATATCTCAGCTGCAAGTTTTGGAATTTGGCATAAGGATAGAGCGCAAAGCAAATGGTACTTCGATAGCAATTTGAAGCTCTAAACGAAAAAAAAATTTGTTAAATCTAGGTCTATGATTGATTGAAGGGGTGAATTGATAGGCATGCCGATGAAACTATTACAAAAAAATCCGAAATAATTGAATCAGTGGGTATTGGAAATATATTTTTTATTAAAAGGAACCGTTCCTGATGAGAGCTTCGATATAAAAAATTTCAGATTGAGGTCTTTTGAACATTATTTCGGAGGATATTGAGTTAGCGGAATTGATTTTGGTCATCATTACTTTTTTTTTAAGAAATGGGCATTCTTATGTCTTCTAGAATTTTGTGGAATAACACATCTAAGCTCCCAATTTTTTTTCTACAGTGAATACTCACTTTAATATACTTAAATTACTTTTCTTGCTTTACTGACACTTTGGCAGGTATCTCAACCTAGGCCGTCTGTCAGCTGCATAAAGTAACATACTTATACTTGCAGCGGTCTTAGTAGCGTCAAAAATAGTCGTCGTGTGCTGTCATTTCAAACCGGCAAAGTAATACACCACTCAAAGTTCGGAAATTAAATTTTAAATTTGCAATTTCCTTTTCAACATTGACACAATTCTAGAGCAATACACCTGCAATCGCAAGTCTATGTGGTGTTTACTGACGGACATTAACGTTAACAACGGTACCAAATGACAAGTTTAAGCGCGTTGTATCGTGGCAATATCAACTAATGCATTTATTTGCGGAAAGGTGGCGGTACAAAACATGTCAGTGTTGAGTACGAGGAATGTTGTGGATGAGAAAGTGTAATTGTAGAGAGTATAGGCGTCACTAGCTTCATGCAAGAACGCAAAAGTACAAGAATGGTTAGATAATTTCGTGAAGACATTGTTTAAATTAGCTCATTATCATAGAAATCTTTGCGTATCGAAAACGGGAAACTAAAGCTGCCTTATAACAACTGTTCAATCAAACTCAAGTGCTTGTATGGAAATCTTTTTTATTTGAGTAGGTATCTTCACAAATTTTGGCATAGAATGTAATATATATTGTATAGAATTAAAACTATATTTCTGAACAAATTGTTCAGATCGAAAAACTATAGCATATAGCTGCCATATAAACTGACCGATCAAACTCAAGTGCTTGTATGGAAAATTTTTTTATTTGAAAAGATAACTTCATGAATTTCGGTATACATAATTAGATAAGATATTTATATAATATTCCAACAAATTATTCAGATCGGCTGACTATAGCATGTGGCTGCCGTATAAACGGACCGATCAAACTCAGGTGCTTGTATGGAAATCTTCTTTACTTGAAAAGATATTGTAACGAATTTTGGCAAGGATTATAATTTAAATTAGTGCTACATTCTCCGAATTATTCGAGATCGAGCAACTATAGCATATAGTTGCCGTACAAAGCGATTGATTAAAATCAGTGTAAATATCTTTTTCACGCTTTATGTTATTAGAAATGCAGCTGTGAGTCATATTATAGAATAGAGGAGATCTGACTTATCCGACCACCCTCGTATATTACTGCACAAATTATTTTTTGACAGTTTTCTACATAAAACTGCATGAGCACACACTGCTTTAGTAACGCAATGCTGACCCAGTGGACCAAACATTTTGACTGTCGTCCGTTATACAACAGCATAATTGAGTTGTCAGCGTTAATGGAAATTGCTAATTGTAAAATTTATGAGAAACGAACATTCACACACACACACGAACTACTGCATACTTGATATTTCCACAAAAATAGCATTTATCGAGTATTCTGCAAGCTTTTTACTGCTCGAACACAAAGTTCACAAGTAATTATACCGAAAGTACCGTTAGTTTGAAAATTGTAATTGAAAATTTTTACTGCATTTTGACAAAATTTAATTAATTGGCTAAAAGTGACTTAGTGTATACACTTGGCTTTGATTTTCTATGGAAATCATTGCGTTCATTACAGTTTGGCAAGCAATGGCTTTCTGCGCACACTTTTCCAAATAAATTCGATATAAAATTTCGCACAGCTCATTACACACACACACACATATATAGATAACACTTCCCGTTACACTTCTGCTCGCTGGCTTATCGCAATTGCTTTGGCGAAGGTCAAAGTTGACATTGACATGTTTGATAGTTTTAATTGGTTGTGTATGAAAGGTCAATTGGGAATATGCAACTATTTAATTTGTTGAATGACTGCACGGAGCATTGGCTGCTCGGACAGGTGGACGCATGCAGTTCGTAATTAATTGGAAAACAAAAATTCAATTGAGAGAAATGACAAAATAAAATGGAAAAAATGGAAAAGCGTATAACAAAAGAGTGAAATGGGAATTAAATTAGTTTGTTGGAGTGGGGCTGGTAGAAAGGAAGAGAGACAGAGTGTGACTACTCAAATTAGCAATAAAGAAATAAGTACGGAAGTACAAACTTTTAGCACAATTGACAATTATCGTCTTCGCAAAAAAATAAATTAAAATTTGTAAAATTATATGTATATTATATATTTGTGGAATATTTAGTATTATTTCAGAAAAAACAAATTTACTTAAATATAAAAAAATGTTTGTGTGTACATATATGCTCGATTTAGTGCTTCAGTTTTGAGATATCGAGTTGGAATTTTACACATGACTTTTTTTCACCAAGTAAAGAATTCAGTTGTTGGAATCGTCGTTATCCGATAAATGTAGCATATAGTGGCCATATAAATTGACTGATCAAAATCAAGTTTTTTGTTTGACAAGATGTCTGCATGAAAATCGGTAGAGACTATTATCAGCGTTAACTCAACAATTTTCGAAGAAAATGTTCAGATTGAATCACTATAGCACAGAAACTGTATAATAAAATTCAAGTTTTTGTATGGAAAACTTTTTTATTTGAAAATTTATTCTCAAGAAATTTGGCATAGATGATTGCGCAAAACCACTCTATAATCTGTGAATGTATTGTTCAGTTGGGACAGTAATAGCATATAGCTGCTATACATACTGAACGATAAAATTCCATATCTTTTAAGGAAAACTTTTTTATTTGAAAAGTTATCTTCACGAAATTCACCATACTTTATTGTCCAAGGAAACTCTACAATCTTCGCACAAATCAGTCAGCTCGAACCACTAGAGCATATAGCTCTCATACAAATTCACCGATCAAAATCATGATAAAGTTCCTTTCATATACTTTATACCATTTATAAAAATGCACTTTTGTAGGGAATTATGGTTTCTGCTTGTTTTGTGGGTATTTTAGACATAAAGTGCGATAGCTTTAATAAATAGAGTAAATATTTTGTCTCACTAGGGAAAAATTATAATCGCTTAAAGTTGCAAATGCAATTCAAATCTCGATATTGTTTCACCACTTCCTTCAAAAAGTTGATCCTTCGTTCCTCATATGCAATATACCGTTATATGTATGCGTATATTAATGACTGTAATACCTTTTCAAGCATTTTTTTTCACAAACATTCATTGCCAGCAATCAAAGTGAGCTACAACACTTCTGACACAAGCAATTTAATTAATTGAAGTAGCTAAGCGTGCTTTTCCAGGAAAATTTTAGTCAAGAAATGTGCAAAGCACTCGCCAACCGCCCCTTTTTTGTTTGACTAAAACTTTTGTTACAACAAATTCGCAATTTACAGCTCATCAGTAGCAGCAGTTGACACCAAACGCAGCAAAAAGTGGCTGAGCACAAAAGCGATAATGAATGAAAGTCAGCGTAATTGTGTGACGATTTGTGCATACATGCATTCACGAAGAAGGGCCGAAGTTT